CATCCCTTCTGTCTCTCTTTCTCTCACTAGTTCTTTCTCACCCCTCCACGAAATATTTTCTCTCGAAATAAAAGAGTGCCATCATGGTGAAGCCAGAAACTCTCCAAAATAATGAAAAATGCAAGAAACTGGCAATTTTCCAACCATTAGGCAATTTTTATCTACTTTTTAATCTTTAGCTCAGCACCTTTATTGTACTGGTATAAACAAATTTCTGTGTGTATTGTACTGAAAAATGTTGACGAACAGCAAAGAAAAATGTAAATTTGGCAGTTTCCAAGACCATACAAGCTACGATAGTCACTAGACTTTGAAGGCTTTCTCGTTAATTTTACCTCTACCATCAAATGACGCCCATCTCCTTCAATCCCAAATCTCGACATCTGTTCACGATAGGTCTATAATTTTTTCATCAAAAGCAGGAAAAATTATCTATCTTCGTGATGATAGACCTACCTATAACCCAATACACCCAGAATTGATGAACACCTGATTCTACGGCTTCGTGACACAAAGTAACTTGGAATTTATAAAAAGATGACGTTGCCAAATGCCCACACTGTTTCGTGCTTAAAAAATTTGCCATGTTAGTGAAAATGTACTGAAAAATACAAATAAATAATTATGTGATATGATAAGCTGAAAACAGCCTTGTTTCTGTGCCGTCTTACTTGCATATAGAAACAAAAATCAACAGGTGCCAGAGGCGAAGCGTCTATATAATCAAATAATCACTGCTTCCCTTCTAAATTTTGAAACATTGTTGCAGTCAAATTCACCCATAGACGTAAACCTCATAAATTAAATGTAAAAAGACGTTCATAATCATCAATGAACAATAGACTATGCCTAACCTTCAAAACCGTTTCATTGCCACAGAAATAGCCTGTTCGCCCCTATCCTGGTCCCGCGGAAAATTGCATTTTTGAAATAGAAAAAATGCAAGGATTAGGACAGAAAAAACAACAGTTCCCTGTTGTAGTTCAGGCACAGTTATGAGCATGACATTGTTAGATCAGTCCATTTACAATTCTACTGTGCACTAGAACGAGAAATGTCTCCCCCACCCTTTGGTAATGGCCTAAAGACATTTCTGTCAGTGGCACCACCCCGGGGGAGTCTCAGACTATGAATCCGCTGTGTAGTCGAATCCTCCAGTTGTGGTTGAGACCAAATAGTACTGAACGTAACCATGGTCTTGGTGACTCTGAAGTCTTTAGAGGATATTGTGACAAATTTGTGCCTCAACAACACAAGTAATACGGACATTTCCGAATCTGTATTGTATATCTCCTTCTAACTGTGCTCATCACCTAGATCTTTATTCCCTACAAGGGCTGGTTTGGAAACCACTGAGCAGACCACGTTCCATGAATTGACCCCATCCACCAAGTCGCAGTCCTTTCCAGGGCTGTTCCTGATATGTGGAGATAAGGAAGTATCAGCTTCATCCCAGACTGAGTCTGCACCAACACCGGTGTCGCCTGGAATCATACCCCAAACCATACTGACGTTTCACTAGGCAGATGTAAGTCAGCTGCTGAATTATTACCTTCGAGGTCACAGCAACACGATCTGTAGACCATATTCAGGCACCGTAGCCACTTTTCCTGGAGCCTGATCCCGAGACACAGCCCATTTGTGATGCCAGCATAAATGATGCTCCACAGGGGAAAAGAAAGGGGTTTTAGGAGTGGCAACAAATACACGAAAAGCTATCCGTGGATCGGGACAGGATCGGAATACATAATGGTTCAATGAAAATCCCAGCTAAGTTATTGAAACCAAACTTTGATTGCAAGAGCTGGACTCAGAAATGTAAAGGGCTCTCTAAAGTTGATAGACATTCTAATTTTGATTTAGTGTGGACCCTTTCATGGGATGGCTAGTGGACATCAGTGGAGGTATTCAGAGACTAAACAGATAGGGAATACCTTCAATAAACACTTTTAAAAGGTGGCCATAAGGTGCCAGTGTGTTAAAAGATGTTCCTGAATTGAACTGGGTTGGGTGAATGATTTGTAAGAAACTTAGAACCAATAATTATCAAAGCAACTCAGGTATCTACAAAATATACAATTCTGCCAAGACCACGGGAGGCGGCCTCTCAACAGACCCGGCCTGGATGAAGCATTCAAGCAGAATCATCTGTCGCTGTTCATGTCAAAGACAGATATTATGTGCGACCTTTGCATCAGTCGTGAAGTTGACAATGTGTTGGAGGATTTTTGGAATGATCACATTCTAGAAAAGGAGGCAGAGCGCAAAGAAAAGGAACGAGATAAATCTGAAGCCATCAAATCTCTAGCCAGTGATGAACCTAAAACGGCCGTACTTTCAATGGATCCTCGGCATCAGCCTTACATTACAAAACGAAACTCGCCGTTCATACCTTTACGTTATCAGATGCTGCAACACGTCAGACTACTTTTTTACGTGTGTCATGAAGCAGAAGGGGGACTTATGGCAAATGAGTTAGCTTCATGTCTATTGAATTTCCTGAAGGAAAAGCTGGACTTCCAGAAAACCATTATCGACAGCGACAACTGTGGTTACCAATACAGAAATGCCACACTAGAAAATGTTTCTCTCAGCCTGTTTTCAACAACACATGGAAGCACAATTGAACAAAAACATTATATCAAATGACAAACACAAATGGAAATTAACAGTGTGAACTCAACTATTAAGAGATCGCTTCGAAAAACACGCATCGAGGTCCCCCAAGACTACCTCCATTTCTTCATGATGGCAAGAGCAAAACAAGAAACTTATCAAAACAAATATTCGGATCACATATTCTTCAAGGAATATTCTAAGTGTGGAAGCTACGACAAGTCTATAAAACTAGGTAGAAAAACTGGTGATCCTGTTGCCAGGTGTTTGAAGTATATCCCAGACATGAACATCCAGTTCAAGATTCACCTCAAATATGAATGGGCTGCCGGTCCGAAGGCAGGACACAGAAACATAAAGTCCATCCTACCTCACCAGTCTACACAAAACGTTAAAGTACAATCACCTGCAGGTGCTTAAATCTGTTATTGCCAATATGCATCGTCACTTCATGACAATTTATACCATTAACATTAATGGTTGTTCATTACGATTCAACATCTCTTATGAAAACCATCTGTAGAGCAAACAGAGACCATATTGCAGAGATTTATTATTAATTTGTGCATTTTAGTAAAACTGGAAGTAACCAGATCTAATCTTGGCAAATGATAGTGAAACAAATTGCATTAATTGCAATCCGTTTTAGGATTCAAACATAAATTCTGCAGGTAACATACATTTATTTGACCCCAGTTGGCCGGGAATCGAACTCCAAACCAATTGGTTTCGAATAAACATCTTTATCACTTTGTAACCTTTAAAACAACAGACGCATACTGCAACCAAAATGAGCAGCGAGAAAACTCGCAACCCTCAAACTCTGTCCTGATGAAACCTCGCAACCCTCCCGCTGGCTGACTACGTGGTTTCATCACGACAAAAATGATGTAATGAAACCTCGCATCCCACAGCGTAACTACATAAACAGTAGAAAGTTATTTTTATGTACTAACCACGTTTCTAACATGTTTTTATCTATCTGTACCAACTTTGGTTAATATAGGTCATTTTATTCAAGAGTAAATCAGTCTTTTGTCTCTCCTGTAAAATTTTCCTTTCTGGGGTTACGGGGTTTCATCACTCCACCAGCGATTTCATCCAGTCTGAATTTCCGGTTATAGCTTTTAGAGTAGTACGCTCAGTAGACTAGAGCTGGGCCGAAACCATGATTTACGTAGGCCTATCAGCTCTGTATCGCACCATTTCGAATTAAAAATTCTGTTAAAATTAAAGCGTTGATGTTATTTTGCCTAAAATTGCAAGAAATTGCAAAAATTGCAAAAAATTGGGGATTTATTGCGGAACTTGACGAAAAACGCGGCCGCACTTGCGACAGCAAGACCGCGAATTCCTGGGGGGCCAGCCTATCGGGCCACTCCATAAGCAGTCACAAGCTTTGATTAAGTAAGCTTAAAGTGAGGCTGGAAGAGTCTACCAATAAAGTTGAAGGGAACATGTGCATAGCAGTCAAAACTGTTTCATTGCCGCACATACCCTGTTCACCCCTTTCGAGCCACAGTTATAAGCAGCCTCAGGCGCTGATTATGTAAGCTAACTATTACACTGGTCGAGTCTACCTTACAGATGGGAGGGGAACTAACTCCTAATAATATCTTGACTGCTGCGAGTGCTAGTTTTTTTCCCCCGAGTTTTTAACGTCCTATAATCAGATCGTGACCTCAATTATGACACCGGCTCCTGGCCGCGAAAAGCTAGACAAAATAACAGCCAAATTTGAAATAAAAATTAATTATTGGCATGCTCTACCAAAGTGTTTCGGCTGTCTGGTATAACATGCCATTGTAGTACTGACATCCCTGCTTCTTTCCTTGATATTCGTGTGTTCAAATCTAAAGTTAAATTTAAGGTTAGTTAGAATAAATATTTAATGAATTACTTTCCCGATTATTTTAGCGGTTGAATATGCATACAACATGAATTCAGGATTTGTTTTCATTCACAACTCAGAGTTGCCGCCTCCAGTGCCAGTAAGATTCTTGTGACTTAATGTGTGAGTGTGATATCTCCAGGCCCTATCTGGTCCCATCTCACTTTGATTACGCTGTCAAACAAGTCAGCCTTCGCCCCTGCAGGTGACTCATGTGATTTCTGGAGACGACGGGCTTGCTGAATGGTCTTCAGTGGGGATTCAGGAAAACTTGATCCACACTGGATCACCTGCTTTGCCAAGAGACTTATATAAGCGAGACCTTTCCCGAAGGAGGCCACATGATTGTCATCTTTTTCGACCTAGACAAAGCAGAGCTTTCAACTAAAACCTGAATGGAATTTTTAGAAACTTACATGCTCTTGGCCTATGCGGTCACCCCCTACCTTTACTGGCAATTTTCTAAAGGAACGTTCTTCCAGGTTCGTGTTAGATCCTCCCTTTCTCTGTCCCCGCAGAATTAAGCAAATTTAGATTGCCAAATTATGCACAAAAAATGCAAAATTATGCAAAAATTATGCAAGTTACCTTAACGCCATTCACGACATGTTTTGCACTTTTTCAACAAAAATTTTCATGTTTTATGTACAGACAAAGTGAAAACAGCACAAATCAGTGTCAGTAATTTGTTGTGTATTTGGAAAGAAAACAATACACATCAGTCAGAAAAATAAACAACCAAATATTATAATATCTGTAACTTTCAGCAGTAGATCTATAGAGGAAAAAAATGCCCCCCCCCCAAAAAAAAAAAACCCACCAAAAAAAAGACATCTGGACCTCTGATGCTGGCACATCACTAAAACAAGGGACACCTGTCAGACATGAAACATCAGCAGACATGAGAACAACTTTTGATGGATTGAAAAACTGAACATGATGCTCAAGGAACAAAATCCCTAAAGGCCCGGTTACACGCAACGATAAATTGTACAAAAACTGGACGATCTGGGGATCATAACATAAATCGTTAGGTGAAACCACAAAATTGTACAACATTAAGAAGATTGAACGATGGTTTGGAGACTCGGTCGAGAAATCAAGCGCTGCTTGATATGTTCCGTGCGATCACGTTTAGGTTTGAGGGAGACTCGCTGTGCACGTAGATTCACTTTGAAATTTGGCGCCACGCAGAATTAAACTCAGGACTCAAATTTGTTTTAAAGAATCACCGTAGGTAAAAACTGATTTCATATTCGGAATCAGCGTCTCAAAATAAGCAAAGTTGTTCTGGAGGAACCTGATTTGGTGCTTTATTATTTATAGTTTAGCAATTTTATTATTTAGTTGATCGTTAATTATTGTGAAGCTGTGCATCAAGGTCAGTCGGTGCGTTGCACATCTGCAGTCAAGACAAAGCTTCCGGTTCTACACACAACATGTGCGGTGGTGGTAGGCCTAGGCCTAGGCCTAGTGTGGCCACCCTTTTTTAAAGACACTGTTCTGCTATATCAAAATGTACAGGGGAAGGATTGGGGGGGGGGGGGGGGGCTTCTGTGATCTTGAGGTAGTGTTCGCCTTTCATTCATTAGGTCCAGAGCTCGAAACCTTCACATAGAGAGCAGAAAAAAATCGTTGTCGTCGCAAAGAGACATGGTGGCTTTATGACGAGGAATCTCCTCAATCGACAGAAAACTGGACGATAGATTGGAACGTGTAAATAGACAACACAGTTCGAAAAAATGGACAGTTCTCTCATACGACGAATCTGATACATGTACTATTCATCGTTGTGTGTAACCGGGGCTTAACCCATAACCAAGATCCTCTAACAAGGGAAATAACCAGCTTGTCACTTAAATGAGACTTATTACGGGGATTACCTCCCTTTAGTCACATGGCGACTTTGTTTTGTGAAAACGAAAGAAATATGTAAAGAAACGCGCGGAATTGAAAATTGTGCAAATGTTGCAGAATTTCGCGAAAAAACGCAGCCGCG